GCTTAATAGCTTTCCTCCCAGTTCAGTCAAAGTAAAACAAGTGTGTGTGGATGAGAGTGAGGGGGGCTCAGGTCTCTGGCATCCTGTCACTCAGCTCCTGCGCCCTCTCTCCGGCTCTCCTCTATCCGGCGCGCGCTGTGCCATCTCCTCTCAGACGAAAGAAACAATAATAATATTAATAATTAAAAAAAGTACTCCCTCCTCCACCGTGCGTCCCGTTAGTCCTTTAGCTGGTGTCCGGGCTGGATGTAATCCTTGGCTGAAAACAAAAATAATATGAATTATTTTTATAAAAGAGATAAAACAGAGAAATAAGCTGTTCGTCGCGCGCAAATGAACCCAGGAAGGCACTTTTCTCCGAGATGTGTCCGCTCTGCTTCTAAAGCATCAGRATGACAACTTCGGCTGAGATTCTTGACAAAAACTCTCCAAGTCCTTTTATGTCAGCAGAGTCGCACACTGAGCCACTATAAGCAACAGCAGTCCGTTAAGTGTCATACCTCTCTCTCTCTCTCCCTCCCTCGGTTGTTTTCCGCCCTCACAAACTCTTCCCCTCCCTCCCACTTTCCTATCTTACAAATAAAAACGGAAACCCAGACAACTGATGGCAGATAGTGACTCAACAGGACCCCCGGTCTGAGCTGCGACCACATGATACAAGACAGGGTTGTAAGTGAAAACAAAGCAGGATCTTGGCTCGTTTCCTTATAAAACCCAAATCCTCACTGTTTCAGTTCTTTGTAATTCTCTTCCAAAAGCATGAAATGGTAACACTTTACAATAAGGTACACAAATTTGTGTACCTTATTATAAAGTGTTACCCATGAAACAAACGTGAAGTGTTTTATTTTTATTTATTTTTTATCTGGATTTGTGGGTCTTTACGCATTGTTAATTCTAACCAGTACTAAAAACGGGCACTTTGGAATTTAGAGGAAATCATTTCTTGAATCAGGGTTACCCTAATTGTATCTCACTCCACACAATCTCTAATAATAAAAAAAAGAGCCTTTAAAGAGATGGTGAACAATAGGAGAGGGTTTTAAATGTCTGTTCGGGTCAAATAAGACACGTTTTGGAGAGTTTTGCATGAAATGCTTCAACTGAACATTTTTACACAAGTAAAAAAGAAAAAAGAAAAAAAGAAACACGTGCATTCACCTGCGTCTTGCTCTTCTTGTGGCTTCGCAAACCCACAGGCATCCAGCCCTCCTCTCCTCTCCTCTCCGCTTCCAACATGCGCGGAGCAGACTCGCTTCCTTAAATTCCTCTTTTAAAAAAAAAGACACCAGATTTGCTCCAGAACGTAACAAAGGCAAGTCAACTCATCCCCTTCCTCCTCCTCCTCCCCCTCCTTCTCCTCAAGCACCCCACCCACACCTTCTCTAAGCGCAGCAGAGTCCCTCGGACCGGTGAGCGTAAAGACGCACAGCGCTGCTCTCCGCTCCGCGCACAGACAAGTCTCCTTCCCCGCTGATCTCTCTCTCTCTCTCTCTCTCTCTCTCTCTCTCTCTCTCTCTCTCTCTCTCTCTCTCTCTCTCTC